CTGGATGACAAGTTCACCTTTTCTTCTTAATGTGAGCTGGTTCTGAACACAGTGGGGAACAGTTTGACCCACTTGGGTCTGCATCAGAGCAGAAAGTCAATAGCCAAAAAATAAGAGCTAACGCTATAAAAAAAAGTGTTAGTTTCTTTCACCTGGTCAATGATAAACTAAGCATGCAATATTTTCATAAATCAAATTAAATCAATCATTGTTTTATTATAGAAAAAGAATGTGAAGAATCAATGCTGAGACCAAACCGTGGAAAGGAGTTTTTCATGTTTGTCTCACTAATAGATCCAATTTGCAAATCATTTCAGACTCATTTGGGAAAAAAATATACAAGGATTTAGTTTATTTTCAGCACAAGATCAGGATTTGGATCACTGCTTCTCTGAAACACCTGCTGTATTTTATTGATGTTATTAAATTAATTAAATGCATATTTCTGTGCATAAAGTTGCATTTACAGTAAAGGTCTATGGATAATTGTGGTCAGATTTACAACAAAATTAAGGAAAATGCAAAAAAAAAAGTTGGTTTGTAATAGGTGAATATTTTGTTATGCCTAACTTTTTGATCTCTTCTAATCTTGTGTTTATAAAATAGTTACTCTATCAACCACCTCTCCTCAGGGTTCAAAATTGTATTTGGGGGCCATAAATAGGCGCCTATCCCCTGTCTTAAATAAAAGAGGGACAGTTACCCTCAAAATGTAGCTAAAGCTTATCTGAAGGTAATGAATGTTTATATTTAAATTTCAATCCCTGTATTTAATCTATTTCATTGTTAAAATTTATCTGGTGCCAGCAGTTAATATCTTGGTTTAATTTGATCAAATAAGTTGGCATCTGTCTCCATCATCAAGATTTCAATCACATCTGATTGGTTTAAATTCACCAACAGAATATCTCAGCTCAACCAACCCATTCATGTTCTCTTTCTAAGCTGCAGGCTCGTGGGAGTTTGCTGATCACTTGAACGCAGCATCAGTGTTGCAAACTGATCAAATCATCTTCCCAATTCGAAGTTGAGCTAAAAACTGATGCAAACACAAGAGGGCGCTGTTGTCCCGGATAACAGGTGTGGTGGAGGTTAAAAACAACTTTGTTGGATCATGTTTGTGTGTTGAATAGACATACATAATTAGATACATTATGACGAAAACTTCTGAAACTGAATGATTATCTTTATAAAAACCGAAAAGTTGCTGAATAATTTAATATTTTGACTTAGAAAATTCATTATTTACGAGGTTACCACAGAATTTTTGTTTCTTGTACATTGTATAATTCTCAATTTTTTTCAAGTTTTAAGGGATAATTATGAGCCAACTAATTTAAACGATCAAAAGGATTAACAGAGCAAGACTCCTTTTAAACTGGAGGACATTGAAGTTCCCCCTTAATAATCAGCGATAAGATGTTTTTTTTTTTTTTTTTGCCTTAAAAATAACAAAAATAGCAGAACACGAAAATTCCAAACATGCCATAGTTGTTCAATCTTTAAAGGGTATCTAATATGCAAAATTCAGTTTTTGTTCGCTTTTATTCTTCCATTTGGATCTCAGCTGTTTCTAAAAACAACTCCAATGCTTCAGACATGTATTTTGTAATGAGTTAATGTGTCTGGGAAATTAATCAATCAATCAAATTTTATTTGTATAGCACATTTCAGCAGCAAGGCATTTCAAGGTGCTTTACATAATTAAAAAACAAAATAAAAACAACATGTAACATTGAATAAACAGTAAGAAAGAGAAAGAGATTTTGGAAAAAGAAAAAAAAGAAAAAGATTAAAAAAAAGATAAAAACATACTTTTGTTACGGAATTTTAGCGCCTGTCGTTCCCGGACTCTGCCGTTCGTTTAACACGGGTATTATCCAGGCCCCGTCGCCTAACAGGACAAGGTCTCCAACCTTGCAGCATCAGGCTCCGTCCACCTATCACGCGAATTTTTGCGCTAGGACTTCGCCATCCTACACGGATTTTTGTGCATTATTTTTACCTGTTAGAGTCTAGAGTTTACAGGGTTTTTCTGAGCGCGCAATGATCCTCAATCACTCGCCACTTTTACATAAAGAGATAAAAAGTAAAGATAAAAACTGTTATGAACGCCTCCGGACTGTTAAGTTACAGTCGAGGGGACTTTGGAGTTACAAGCACCCATAGTAAACATGCAAAAGGAGCTTCTGTAGCGTCACAGATCGCTGATCTCAGGGCTTTTTAAAAAATAAATGTGTGCATTCATATGTGGCTCCATTTATGTAGCTATTCAAAAGCACCACCAACAATTTTCTATTTTATATTACCTTTGTTTTGATTGTTTACGCTGTGTGGGTGCTGGCTCATTCACGAGCATGATTTAAGAGTAATTTTGTTGCAATACTAATTTATACCAAAAGATGGCAGTAGTGGCGCATGAGAGAGAAACTGACTTCCAAGCTTTATGGAGAAGAAGCACGTAACATAGAGCTAAGACTGATGGGTCAGCAGCGCAGTGCAGCCACTACTAAAGAATATGTTTTCTGTTTTCACAGGTGGGTTATTTTTTTATTTAGTTTTTCTAATTTTTATAATTACAGGACCGTGTTTTGTTGAAATGAATTCTATTTTGAGATATTTCTGTACATGCCCTGCGACAGACTGGCGACCTGTCCAGGGTGTACCGCCTCTCGCCCGGAACGTTAGCTGGGGATAGGCACCAGCACCTCCCGACCCCACTAAGGGACAAGAGTGTACAGAAAATGGATGAATATTTCTGTACATGAGAAGTGAATGTTTACTGCCGCTGGCCTAAATGCTAACTACCGTTAGTGCGACCGTTAATTTTCCTGGGTCCAAAAGCTAACAACCGTT